AAAGGTATTACTTGACTTTTCTTGGTCACTTGAAGTCAAGTTTTTGAGTAAAGAGGTTTGTAAACAAGAGGGAAAGGTAAAAGTGACTCTTAAAGTCATACTTCAAGTTGTTTTAATGAAAGTGTTAAGACTTTATTAGCAAAGAAGTATAAAAACTTTTTGTGAACATCTTTTTTGTGTGTGGTCAGAAAATCAGCAGAAAGAGTTTTTGATATGAAACATATTTAACAATAATTTTGTTACTAAATAATATAATTTTAATTAATAATAATAAGTTTCTTAATTAATATATAATTCTAATAATTAATAAATAAGTTTCCCAAATGATTTAAAATTAAAAATATTTCAATTTAATAAAAATTTTTAAATGAATACTATTTACTTAAATAAAAATTTTTTAAAAAGATTTTAAATGATTATTATTATTATTATTATTTTAATATATTAATTCAACAATTTATTATTTTTTAAAATAATTTACAATATTAAATTGTAAACAATATTTCTGATAAATAGAAAGTAGTATAATTCTTCAACTAAGTCAATTATTATGTGAATAGTTCATGTAATATTGTAGATGTTTATTTAATATCTCAATAAAGATATGCCATAATAGTATAATTGTGTTTCTTCATTTCTTCCCCTATTTTATTTTCTTGTAAATATTTTTAACCTTCCCTCCTGTTTTAATTTTTTCTTTTAATACTGACTAGTCACAAGACTAATACAAGAGACCTTCAATATCAGATGGTATTGGGACTCTTGTGCAAGTTCTGACATGTTAGGTCCTATAGTGAGTGACAACAAGCTGATCGGTGGGTGCATTAGTGTACTCTAGATAATGTCGATTCCTGAATTTGAGGATGGGTAAGCAATGTACAGTTTGTGTATCTCACTAGTCCTTCACTTTGTTTTTAAAAGAGAAGTATTTACACTAGGTGATCATGTATTTTCCTTATTCTGGTTAGGTTAGACATAGATTGAGTCATAAAAATAGATAGCTCCCTGTTCTATTTCTTTCTAATGATCTATAAATCCTTAGACAGTACAGGAAAGTATTCATCCTGATTGTTGCTAAATATGATCTTTTCTTAATAAAGCACTGAAGAAGGCATGGGATGAGCCAATTTTAAAATAAAATAAAAAATGATAGTATAATTGCAGGTTAAAAAAAAAATAATTATAATAATATACTGTATATATTTTTTTTTAATTTAAATAGGTAAAAAAAAAAGTTTTTAATACGTCATCCCACATGTTACACCGATAGCTATTGCCAAAGAAATTCAAGCATATCATTAAAAGCATCTCTGAGCCGAAGAGTCTAACCTCTGAAAAGTTTTTCTGAAGAGGCTCATTAGCTTAAAGCAAGATTTAATAGAAGTATTGGATATTTAAGGATGGATACAGTAGTAATTAAGCAAGATAGCATTCAAAAAGACCAGGATCTACAAAGAGAAGAGGATCAGTTATCTTATGAACAATCAAAGGAACAGATCGATCTGCAACTTAGTGAAGAAGAAGCAAGCACACACAATGAGGAAAATATCGGGGTTTCGTCTGTTGGACAAAGTAATGGTGCGACAACTGCTGCATCTAAGGGATCAACCCCGGTAAAGTTGAATCGTGATAATTACAAAGCCAGTTTGCAAATTATAACTACAAGAGCCGCCCCGCCACAAAAACAGATTGCTCTTTTGCAAACTAACAGTAATGAGATTAGGGGGACAACAACAGCAGAACCTCTTCCTCCGCAATCCTCGTTGCATATCGATGAAAGTGATTTAGGTACAAGCAGTAGACATGGGGTCTCTAGTAAGACGCGTATTTTTATTGGCGATCTTTCCTGGAAACTTACCGAAAAACAGCTAAAAACCGAATTTGATCAATTTGGAACTGTAAATGAGGTCCTTGTAGTCAAAGATAGAAATTCTGGTGAGTTAACAATTGCAACGATGTTCTAGAAATCAAAAAAAACTTTATTTATGCGACATTTTTATTCGATTCTGACTATTGTCCAGGATTAAGTAAAGGCTATGGTTTTGTGTCTTTCGAGGAAAAACATGCCGCTTCTGATGCTATTAAAGTCATGAATGGTCAACATATTGAAGGTCGACCAATACGTGTTGAGGCAGCTGAGGAACGTTCGATAGATGACCGATACGGGAAACAAGCCCAAGAGTACAGAAGATCAAATGAATACAGAAGAGATATTGATTATGACAGAAGGATTTATTATGAACGTAACAGAAGAGAGCGTGATGGTAACTATAGAAACGATACCGGATACAGGCGGGAAAATGATTATAAAAGATTTAGAGCTATATAAAAGAATACCTAAAAAGATATGGGAATGTTAAAAACATCAATATCTATAAGATTAAAATAAAGACCAGAGTAAAGACCTATTTAAAGTGGCATAAACACTTCAAAACCAATTCTGAAAAAATATGGATGATACTGCTTGGAATAGAAATGACAAGAACAATCTTTACTAAAGAAGAACTGACTGATAAAGAAATAAATGAGAGAGATTTTTATTGAATAAAACAAATATTTAGCCAGGCTCTTAGGCACAAATAGAATACTCTCAAGTTTGGTCACCAGGGTACTTAATGGTATAGAAGCTAAGGCCTGTTATATATCAAGAAACCCTCGTATATTGAAAAAACAAAATTTTACAGTAGTATGTTTTGCAACAAAAGAAGCACTGACAAGTGCTTGCAAGCAGTATATTTTCTTGCAGGGACTAAGACTATCCTGAAATATAAAAGTCACAGAAGAAACTATAAGGAGTTCTAAACCTAGAACTGAAAGATTAAGAGAAAGACTAGGGCATAGAACAGTAGAAATAGATACTGAACCCATAACAGATTTACTATCAGAAAGTGAATGATAAGCTCTAATATAACTATTGAACATAAGTAATTAATTAATTAATGAAAAAGATATCAAGGTCAGAATGGTAATACTCCACAAAGACCCTAGGCTATCCAGCAACAAAAAGTAATAGGATACCATTGGGAAACTCTAGAAGTCCACTAGAAAACCAAAATAAAAAACAATATAATGAACCAGAGTTTACCATGTTTTCAAATAATAGATGGCTACTATGTGGTCACTAATAATTGTAGGACTTGTGTTTTGATCTATAAATGCTATTTATATATTCCAATCTTCATGAGAGAATATTCAGATCTGATCAATTCTACTGTGATAGTTTCTAGAGTTTTTTTATGTAAAATTTTATTAATATGAATTTATGTGTTAAAATAAGTCTATGAGGTTATGATCTGATAAGAAGAATGTGATTCTTTTTGTTTGAATAATAGAATGTTAACTGTTTTTGTCAAGAAGAGGATTATGGATCTCATTAAAGTTACCAGTTAAAATTAAGTATCAGTTTTTTTATAATACTTTCCTGATTAGATTTTTGTTGTGTTCTGTATGTACTATCTAAGTTTGTTGCAAGAATATAAAATATAAGTACCAATTATATATATAAAATTTTTTTTTAAAAAGACCATATCAAGAGAAAGTATTTTGTCTGATATGTTGTAAACTTGGAAAACTCTGAAGGCAAGATCTGAAGTGATACTAATTGCTACACCTTGCTAAAAAATAGATGTGTTATAAGATTATCACATCTTGTATATGTCAAATTGTCAATAAAGTGATGCTTTAAAATTTTTATTTGTTTCAGTTGTAATTATTATATCCTATGAGTTGTTAGTATAGTATTGAAACTATAGTTGTCTTTTGGCCTTAATAGATAAATCTTGTAAGTTTCTAGTGTTGATTTTTTATAAATGTTTGTTGTACTGATTGTGTGCTGAATTTATTTGTTGTAGAGAAGAGCTTGTTGATGATATTTTCATACTTTATTTATTGTTGTAATTACTCATTGATTAAAGATAGATGAGAAAATTATATTTACGGTGGATATAAAATTCATTGCAATAGGTATTTGTTATTGATATACTATTGTAATTTATAAAATGAAAGATTTAATTCTGTTTATTTTGTGTTCTAAATTTTGTTATATTTGTTGAATATCTTGAGCTGGACTGGTAGCTCTGTATTTATATAATGTATTGAATAAGATGCTTTATATATTATCATTTTCTATGGTTTGATTGTAAGTTAAAATTTTAAGCATTCTTTAGTTTCATTGTTGAAGCAGTCTTGTAATTCATATTTGATGTGATCTATTCTGTTATTGACTTCTTGTAATTGTTGTCAAATAGATTTAATTTCTTGTATCAGTTGTGATGTAAAAAAAGAATATTTTGTATTAGCATTTGGATTGTATTAGAGTTTGCAAGATGTTTATTAATTTGGTGATATTTTTTCCTTTTATTATGTCTATGAATAATATTGTATTATTTGTTAAATATTTAGATTACCTTGGATTGTTAAAGATATCAACAGGTTTATATCTTTTGTAAAGATGGTCAAATTTCTTGACATTTGCTTGTTTTTGAGCAGCTATTTGTTTTTTTCTATTTTTAATTCAGCATTGCTTTGTCTGATATTTATTATTAAAATAAATGTTGCAGTTTAGATTTCTGAATTATCCTAGCATAATTCAATATTTCTAAGAAATAGATTAGTGTTAAGTGCCTTTGTTATAGATTCTTTATCTTGAAAGCTCAAAATTGCAAAACATTTTCTTTTGTAGTTGATAGAGTAAGGAATATAGCATGTTTATATTTTGTTGTCTAAAATGAGTTCTGAGAAATTACAAATAGTAGTGTTGTATGAAATATTTATTAGTTTTAAAGTGAATTTGTTTCTGTCTTCTTTGATTTAATGTATATTTAAGAAGGAAAAAATGTATAGTAGGTCTTTTTGAAAAAGAATGGACTATTATTTACTAATCTTGTCATAATCCTGTTGATCTTGGAATTCTATACTGGCTAATTGTCATATACCAATTGTCTATATTTTAATAGATTTAATTTCACCATATTTAAAGAAGGCTGCTTATAGATCTGTATGTAATATATATGTTGAATGGAATGTCCTATACTTATATTGTTTTGTTTTTTGTCTATATGCCATTGTAAACTGGTACTTTTTGTATTTGTAGAATTGTGTTTTTATTGATAACTATGTTTTGTACTCTATCTACATCTTTTTTATTACTAAATAATGTAATAATATTTTTGTTATTTTGTGTTTTATGTATTTTAATAAAAATGAATAAAATAAAATAAATAAGATGTTTTTGGAAAAATTTCACTTTCTACTTTCATCTTTACCAGAGACATCCTCTATTAAAATACTGTAATTATCTTATATATTTTTCTACCATATTCTATTTGCCAATCTGTGGATCTAGTTTCAGTTCTAGATATTATATTTTTGAACCTGATATTATTATATGAGTCTTGAATAAATTCTACCTTTTCAAACCAATTATCTGCTGAGCTGTGTTCTGGTCTGAAAGTTTTTAAAGTTAAAAATACTGTATACTGTTATGTTCAATTTTTATTAGAAATATATAAAGATGAGTTTAGATTTGTGATATTGTTTTGAGAAGGTGAAGACACATTTTGTATATAGTATGATATATTTTGTGTATTGTTTATGTTGTTGTTATAGTTAAAGACATGTTAGACATATTTATTGTGTTGTTTTTATATTAGTTGTTATTGTTTTTATTGATGATGTTGTTGTTTTTATTGAAAATATTGTTGTTGTTTTGTTACAATACTACTGTATATTATAAAACCTGAAAGAAGTGATGTTTCTGACTAGTGTTTGTTTTTCATCTAAAACTATAGTATTGACTGGAGTATTGTTTGTATTTGTTCTAACAAGTTCTTATTGTTGAAGAGTTGTTATTATTGTTTATTTCTTATTAATATTGTCTTTGGAGATATATTGAATATGAACTCTTTAATAAAAAGCATCAAAAGTATAGAAGTAGAAAATTGCTTTTAAAGGAAATTTTCAAAAATTGGGAGTAAATAGGAAAAGGTTTTTTTTTTGTGTTGTATAGTATTGATGTATATATACAATAAATCATGTCACAATATTATCAATGCTTTAAACACAAAGTAGGCTTGACAAGATCAGTCCCAAACAATATACTTTTCAATAAATTCGAATACAACATAATTAATCTCTTTAGAAACAAGTATAATTTTATATTATAAATCTTATCTCTAAAATCAAAAACTTAATTTTGCAGGACAGATAACATTGTTCAAACTTCAACAACTGCAAAATGATTTTTGATTATTAAATGCAATCTGTATATATATATGTAAGATAATACACAAATTAAGGCAAATCTAATCCATAATATTATTTGACAATTAGACAAGTTGACATAACAATCCAATATCCTAAATTCATCCCCCTTATTAAAAAAAATATGAAATATATTAGAAGAATATCTTAGCATAAAATAAATAAACCTTTCAAAAACAATTATATAAATATAATATCTTATTCATCTGTTAACTAATAAATGAAAATTGCATCAAAATCTTGTTCTAAAATTGTATCCCAAAATATCATAAGAAACAAATCATATTTACTCCTAAATAGTTTACAAACATAGTAGTAACTATATAATAGCCCATAGATCTAAATATACTAAACTTAATAGGAACTTGTAATCCTTTCTACCAATATAAAATTGTGATATATTTTTTACTTAAGCATTAGGCCTTAGTAACAAACAGGAATATAGAAACAATAGAGAAACACACAAAAGAAGATAATTTATATATACTACAAGCATATAGCAAAAAACTTATCACTAAAACCCTGCAGTAAATACTTAGTTAATAAAGATCACACTTAAATGTAATAATATACTTTCTTTAGAACAAAGCATCAAATTCAACAAGTTTTAGTCATATATAATTACAAAAGTCTCAATAAAATATTAAACAATAGTTTATACTGGAGAATTTAGATATTAGTATATAGTATCCAATTTATTTTTTATTTTAAAACTGGCTCATCCTATGCCTTCTCCAGTGCTTTATTAAGAAAAGATCATATTTAGCAACAATTGAGATAAATACTTTCCTATACTGTCTAAAGATTTACAGATTACTAGAGAGAAATAAAACAAAAAGCTATCTATTTTTGTGACTCGATCTATGTCTAACCTAATTAGAATAAGGAAAATATATGATTGCCTAGTGTAAATACTTCTCTTTTAAAAACAAAGCAGGGAACAAGTGAGATATACAAACTGTGCATTGTTTACCCATCCCAAGTGTTTACAATTTTGATTC